CAGGGTTTCGTTCTCAACAGCTTACATGAACAATGAAGCTGCGCTGTTCATGCTTCTGACCAGTTGATCTTACAACGACCACATACTTCCAGGGAAAATTCAGTGTTCTGAAGCTTTGAACGAGTTGCCCTTCTTGAAAAGCGGTTCGTCTGACGTGTTTTGGCAAAAAGATCGCGCCAAACGACATACATCCCTGTGGAGCCGAGCGCTTGGTCTGTGTTTGCACAAGTAGTCCTTCATCTGACGACATACACCCCCTTTGCGGCAGTTGGTGACTTGGCTGTGTGTTTTCGAAACATATTGAGCTGTATCTCTAAATTAGTGATTGAATTGAAGCGTTTCTATTAGAGCTAAAGAATGTGCCGGTTTGTTGTACTCGGGCTTCTCTTGCCGTTGACTTAGGGCTTTTATCTACAGGTTCCGAACGTTCACTGCTCAGTTTTAATCAACTTTTATATGTGTTATGCCTCCAAAGCGAAAACGACCTGCTAGCCGACCCCCTGAAGAGACCACAACATCTGGTCCACCAGCAAGAAGAGCGAAGACACTCGCTAAGGATAGCATTTCTCTTCAGTTGACAACAGAACAGGATGGTTCGAGCTTCCTTTATTTCCACGTAATATTCGAAGGTGTCCTTAGTTTGAGTGATTCAGATAGGCCGACTTTGACGCCATCACCGTCTAATGATCTAGATGATGATTTTGCAAGTCTTGAACCAAAGGTCGAAAAGCAAGAGCCTCCCGAGGAGCCTATGGATTATAGTGGAGGATCGAACCCGGATGTCTGCGCGATTTGTCTTGCACCGTAAGTGTTGTTTCTCTAGTATTTATTCCACGGAACATCTCTGTAGTTCGGTATGAGCTTCAAAAAGCTACAAGGCGCTAGAGCGCGTTCATACTTTGCGATCTGGTCGCTCGAGTAGCGCGATCATAGCCATCCGAAGGCTGTGATCGCGCGATACTAGCAATCCAATGGATAGTCTCCGTTTTTTGACTTCTTAAAGAGTAGTTTATAGTTGGCTCATGAATAATAAACGAACTTTTACCTAACTGATGTTTCTATAAGGAAATTGAAAGTTTCCCGGTATATTCGGATTCCTAGCTCTGCGAGCAAGTATGCCTGGTTGTTATGGTGATGTAGTATTTGGTAAATTTTGAATCTTTAAAGTGGCGTGTCATGTCGGCGAACTGAGGGTTTTCGATACTGTTCGTATTGAATCAAGGAATTGAAGCCGAAAAAACTCAAAAATTTATGAGTTTTGGAGCCGAGAAGCGATGCTTTAGGTGGACTGTAAGTTGGCACAAGGCGTTCAAAAGTGGCAGTTTTGTTCTGGAAAGTATGTGTCGCTCTTAGCGTCTTATTGCTTTCGGTGGAGCCACTTGCATTGCTCACAGTCCGAGAACCTGAGGAATCAAGGAAACGGTGAGAAACAAAAACATATTCAACGACT